TGCTTTAAAACATGAAACATCAGAAAATGGCTTAAAAGAGGAGCACATTCTATCATTGGCATTTGACTATATGAAGACGATAAGCTTGCCAAAAATATCTGTCCAACAACTTTATTATATGAGACAGCTATCAGTCAATGTTTTTTCTAACAACATTGAAAACATTAACATTAAAAAAGAAAAAATTCATGTATATATATCATAAAGGTCAAGGAAGAAAAGGGCCTAATGAAGTTGCGAGTTTTTTAAATGATTATTTGATCTCAGTTCCATCAAAGTATAATTACGTTTAATTACGTTTGTTTTGTGACAACTGTAGTGGACAAAATAAAAATCAGACCTTATCACGTTTTTGTTTATACTTAACTGACAGTGGTAGGTTTGAAAAAGTGGAACAGTTCTTCCCAATGAGAGGGCATAGTTTCTTCCCTTGTGATAGGGACTGTGGCTTTGAGGAAGACCTTGATTAATATGCTGAGACTTAATGCTTACTGAGAGCTTTTTTTGTTATTAATTCGTATATATATGTATAATATTTATTACTGGCACGTTAAAATGTTGTTTTAAAGTATATAGCTGTAGTTCTTACGGAGTTTAATTTATTTTCCTTCCTGAAATATTTGATTTTTTTTAAGGGCGAATTTTTGGAACTTTTATATGTTAATTATGAACAAACGAAATGTTATAACAATTATCAAAGTGTACTAAGATGTAAATCTTGCATATATCTTTTAAAAATATATTACACAAAATCTGTATTTTTAATATTAAAAGATATAGTTTTTTTAGTTTTCTCAAAAACGGGTTTTGAGCGAATCAGCCCTTTTAAAAAACACTGATTCATTTTAAATCATTTTAAATCTTTTTAAACTGTCGTTGCTCTCCAACTTGAAATTCGATGCCATTAGAATTTTTATATTCGACGACATTTTTAGTCACAAAAAAGAAGAGAAATGAAAGAGTTTTAATATTAATAGAAAAAATTTAATGGCTGTTGTGTGACGTGAATGATATAATACGATTGTGTTTTTAATAAAATTATAATGAATCAGCGTTATTTTGTGCCAAAGAAACGGAAGTACAATTTTTTTAATTATATTTTAGTTTTGTAATCGTAGTTAGCAAAGATAAATAAATTACGTGAATCATGACTTCAGTTATTGATAGTTTAATATTTAAATCATGCAAAATTACATGAGTACATTACATAAGTAATATTCATAGTATTGTTTTGACATTCATTTATAATGGCTGTACACCTATGCCTAACATAAAATCTAAGACTATACAATTTAAATTTGACTTTGATTTTCAAATGCTGAATTTGATTTTTAAATGCTGAACTTTATGCCTTATAAATAGAATAATTTTGCCCACAGATGACTGATACCATGCCCAAATGTAAAAAGAAATGTACACAGTACAGTGTTGATTATTTGAAGTTTGGCTTCATTCAATCATTGACGGACAAACAATTGCTTATGAGTCTTTTATGCAACAAAATTTTGGGCAATGACGCTATGAAACCATCTAAGCTGAAGAATCATCTAAAAAGATGTCACCCTGATAAAACAGATAAAGATTTGAATACTTTCAAACACTTAAAGGTAAACTTCAGAATAGACCCACGCTAGACAGAATGTTTGCTTCGACATCACAAAGAAACGATGATGGTTTGTAGGCGTCTTACAACATTTCGCTACTTATAGCGAAATCCGGAAAACCGCATACTATCGGAGAGAAGTTAATTTTGCCAGCCGTTGAAGAGGTTTTAAAAACTGTTTTACACAAACCTGCATCTGATATCATTAAAAGAATTCCCTTAAGCAACAATACTGTTGAAAGGTGTATTGATGAAATGAGTTCTGATATTGAATGCTTCTTGTGTAATTATTTGCAAACGACACATTTCTGTATACAACTGGACGAGTCAACTTTACCTGGTAATGCAGCATTATTATTGGCATATGTTCGTTTTATTATGAATCTAGAAATTCACGAAGAACTGCTCTTCGCAAGAACGTTGACAACCGATACTAAAGGTGAATCAATATTTAATGTTTTGAAGGATTACTTTATTGTAAAAGCAATCCCTTTATCAAATATCAGTAGCTACAGATGGAGCACCTGCCATGGTTGGACTTTATCGCGGATTTATAAGCTATTTAAAACAAAATGTGCCAGGGGTGTTAGCAATAAATTGCATCATCCATCGGCAACATTTGGTTGCTAAAAATTTGATCGCTAGATTGCATCAATCTCTTCAATTAGTCATTTATGCAGTAAACCGAATCCGAAGCAACGCGTTAAATACGCGGTTATTTGCACAGTTGTGTGAAGGAAATGACGAACACTTTCATCAGTTACTTCTTCACACTGAAGTACGCTGGTTTTTAAAAGGCTTATGTTTAACAAGATTCTTTGGACTTTTTGAGAGTATTTTAGAAATTTTGGACACTAAAGATAAAAATTTTAAAAGACAATTTCATAAAATGGAAAACAGACATTGCCTATTTAACAGATTTGTTTACAAAATTTAATATGGTTAAATTGCAGTTACAAGGCGACAATCTAAATCTTAACAGCAATATTTTGCTTCACTAGAGTTAAACTAATGAAGCAAAATATTAGACGGGGCGAACTTTCCCGATTCCTCAGTTTGTCGCAGACAAACTCTCCGGAAGACGACGTTTGAACCTACGTTTAAATGTCCTCAATTCAGATTTCGAAACTAGGTTTGAGGATGTTTTGACTATGGTAATACCACCGTGGATATATGATAATACCGCCGTGGAAACCATATTGTGAGAAGAAACAAATGCCATAATTCAAGAGGAACTGATTGCACTAAGTACAAAGAAAGAATTTAAGGTTCAGTTTAAAAAAGAATATCAGCAATTCTGGATGCAAAACATCATACCCTTTAGTTATCCCGTATTATGGAATTTAGCAAGGAAATTTTTTATTTCCTTTCCATCCTCATACCTAGTGGAAAAAGGATTCAGCGTTGTTACCGATCTCCTAACGAAAATAAGAAACAGACAGGACATCATTAGCCGAAGAGATTTAAGATTAAACCTTACAAAGTTGGCGCCAAATGTTGATAATTTCTTATTAAAGCATCAGGTTCATCTTTCTCACTAAAAAATATACTTAATGCTTAGTTTATTTTTTGTGTTTATTTTATGTTACGTATACAGATACACAATTTTATTTTGAGCATTTTTAATAAACATATAAAACTTAGTATGTGTTTTTACTTGACATTTTTAAAACTAAACTTCACTACAGTTAGAAATTAACGAAAAATCAATATCAGGTACTTTCGAGTTCCTAATAAACGTCCCCCCCTCCCCCGTTTATTAATTTTTGGATATTTTTCCCACTTACCCTAAGCTTATTAAGACCCTTCCCCCCGTTTATTAATTTTTACTTGTTACTAACAAAAAATTATATATCTCATTGGCTTTAAAGAATCGGGCTTAAAAATTTGAAAATAATTTTCAATCACCGATAAAAACAAAAACTTTCAGTGTAAACAGGTTTTACAAATTGTCGACCTATTAAATCTCGATTTGCTAAAAATGAACTTTTAGTTTATTTCTCAACAAAGCTCTGGTTTTAATTATAGGCTTTAATATGCTGAATATAAGTTTTATACTTTGCAAAGTATAAAACTTATATCAGCATATTAAAACAGCCTAACCCTATCCTCACAGCTGTTAGAAAAGGCGCTTTTGACCGCAAGTCAAATGCACGTGCATAATTTGCATGCCGAATAAATGGGGGAGGGGGCATGCTCCTCTTCCCCCCCCCCCCCCCCCTTCGTTTATTACATTTTGACTAAAATTCCCACCCCCCGTTGTATTCGGCACTCGAGAGTAAGTTGGGGCTCTACCCAAAACCGAAAAACATAGCATAGGGTCTACGACAGAAAAAAGTTTGGGAATCACTGGTTTAGAGTTTTTATTTTTATTATATGAGAAATTAATGTAATTTAACTAGAAATTATCAAAATTAATTTCATTACAAATTAATAAAATAATTTAAGAATTTCAAGTCATATATAATAAAAAAACAAAACAAATATAAACGTTAAAAATCGGGGGCCCCACTGGTATCCTAATTTTGGAGGGCCAGGCGCCTAGGCTCCCAGGAACCAGGGTTAATTCGGCATTGCTTGATAGGACTTTTGTAATATAAATTTTATTTTTTTCAGTAAGTTTATGTGCACATTTTAAAAAGAAATGATGATTTAGTAAGATATGTTAAGTAAGACATTTAGTAAGAAATGCCTTACTAACATATATTTAAAGAAATAATAATTTATTTTTTACACTATAAAATCTTTTAGCCTCTCAATTATTGATTCAAACAACTAACAACCACAGGAATATGTTAGTAAAACTATCATCATTTTTTTTATATCTTTATAGTTATTCTAGCCATTATTTTTATTAATGGCTAAAAGAATCTACAAAATAGTTCACTAGTTAATGTGACTAGTATGTATTATTATAGCAAATTGTCTAAATATTTTAAGGTAAAGAATTTTGGTAGTAATAATTAGATTTTAAGGCAAATCGAGTAAATTATTTAAAACCTCAAAAAGTCTACAAAATAACCTTCAGGTTTTGATCTTAAAGTTAAAAACTTTATAAAATCGGCCCACTAATTTTTTGCCTTCAATGCAAAAAATCCGGCCTTGTTATATAATAGGCCATGAAAGGACCATTGGTAAATAACCTCGTTTCGTATAGGAATACGTTAGTTCATTTACATTATACGAACTAACGAAATTACAAACAAAATTATTAACTTCGATAAATTCCCTTTTTTTTTTTTTTTTTGTGCTAAGCACTTATATGGCTTAATTAAAAACTATTTTTTATTATAATCATCATTTAAATGCTAATACACATGTTTAATGCAAAGACAGGTATGGCCCTAATAAATTTAAAAGCTTAATATACTTCTTAAAACAACCATAAGACTTATAATACTGCTTGAAACTCTATCATTGTAAAAAGACTTACAATATCACAAATACACTAAATATTATAATAAGTCTATTATAACATAGCATTTACTAAAAGTATTGAAAAGCAACACATAGTATATACATTACATGAATTATTAAAATGTGAGTTTGATATAAAAGCATAAACCTTTGTATCAAAACATTCTTTCATATAAAAAGGTCAAACCAACTGTTAAATACCTTAAGATCAAAGAATTTGAGTTTAAAAACAAACTAAGAAATATTTTTGCAATTAAATTTTATAGACGAAAAATTTACAAGAATCAAATTAAGCTTTTAAGGTGCAAAAACCAAAGCTAAAATTATATTGTATCTATTCTTTTTCTATGAAAATGTATAAATGAAAAAATCGCAATAATAAAAACTGTAAATGTTTAAAAACCCACGATAAAAAAACATTTCCTTTCCTCTTTTAAATATCAAACATAACATTGTCAGTCACACTGAATTTAATCTTTAACAGAAGTGAAATGCGGTTGTCAAACAACACAAAACTTTCATGAATATCAAAACCATTGTAAGTATATATTTACACTTATTGACATTTAGGGCGCTTAAACATTAAAATATGAGGTTCTAAAAAAAAAAAAAGTCAAATCTCAATAACAATAAATTTATAAAAATTTTCAATAACAATGATAATAAAATCATTAAACAAACAAACAAAAAGTTCAAGGCTCAAATTGATTGCGAATTGCGATATCTAGAAATGCTTCTGGTCTTTAAATTTTTAGTTTTTTGAAAACCATAAACTTTGTTTTTATCACTAAGGGGTCGTCCATAAAATACACAGTTATAGACTCCCTCCCCTCCCCCTCGTAACGCATGCAAAATTTTACAAAATACAAAACGATTTAAATATAATAATTTCTATAATTCTCTGAGCTTCTTTGAGTTAATTAATTAGTACTTTTCAGTCTGTTTAATTTTTTTTTTCTCACCCTAATAGTTCTGTGTAAAATTGTATAAACTAACATCGCTATCCTAAACATGACTCTAATTTTAAAAACCTATTCTTCCGATATATAACACTTGCAAAATATTATATAATATATGATAAATAATAATATATTGTACATGTGAAAATATTATTTTATAAATACAATTTTCTTTCAACTTGCAATGTAAGCATGGTCAAGTGGATTCTGCTTCCGACTAGTAAACCGAAGGTTCCAGGTTCGCCTCTGGGTATTGAATTAATTTTTTTTTTTTAGTAGTGCATTAAGATTGTCTTTTTGTTGCTGCACACTTTTGTGCACCAACTAAATAAAGTTAGGCACTTGAACCATATAAATTCAAAGCGCAGAACATGCACTGCACATACAGCCGTAACAGTCTGCTAACAGGCTGTAACTACTCTGTTAACAGAGTGCACACATCAACTAAGTAAGATTTAGGCGTAGTTGATTTTACAATCAAAATGTAGATACATCAACTGAGGATTTTGGTTTGGTCAGATACTCTTTTAATTAAAAGAAAGTCATCAGTTGAGTCAAGAAAAGAAAACAGTATGACATTACTAATATGCAGAGAGCAATTGACACAATCCCTCTTGTAAAATACAATGTTCCTCACAGTACTTTACAAATTATCTGGTTCAAGCAGCCTCATATGCTCCTACTTTACCAGTATACATTAAAGAAGCTTGTGAGAAGTTTGAAATGGCAGATGATTTCTTCTAAAGATATTAGATTTATTCTTAATAATTTCGGAAATCAAAAATAAATGTTTGCATCCTACTGTATTTAAAAATGGAATCCCTTCTAGAACTTGGGTATTTAGATACCTAGACCTGAAGTCTAGAACACCAGAGCAACACTCTTTAGGCATCATTAATCTATTCAGAGTCACCAAAGAATCTCTATTAGCATGGTATAGCAACTTTTAAAAATTTATTGAAGATTAGGAATGACATGTGTTTCAGACACCAGAACATATTTTTAATTTAGAAGAGACTGCTTTTTATTTAATTTCAAACAGAGGTAAATTCATTTGTAGGAAGCATAAGGCAGAAACTGTCTAAGCATCTTCAGCAATGTGTTCCGCTTGAAATGATAGTCCAAAGGAGCTTTGGCAGATAAATGAAGGATGAGACTTTCCTTTATTATTTGAAAGAGTTTAAATGATATTTAGTTAGTATAGTCTCAATCAGACGAATTCTCTTCTAATCAGAAGGTTTTTGTTGATGGCCAGCTGATGTTGGCGTAATAAATTCACTTCAAGGCTAATACAAATGGAAATAAAAAATGTAAACTAAAAAATCTGCCTAAATGTGAATTACAGATTTACAAGTGACAAATTTCCTGCCGTGTTAATGAAAGCTCTTGTTCAAAGAATTGCTCCAGTCTGCATTTGAATGCTATGGTTTAGACCCAATTAACACAGATAAAGTTAATTTGAATAAGATGCTCTTAACTTATCAACAAGCTCCATAGCCTGTTTTCACATTTGATGTTGCTAAGAAAATATGGAACAAAGACACTACCAACAGCTCACAACACTGGTGTAGGTTTTCTGAAATATGGAGAGATATGGTTGCAGAAGAAAAACTACCACCAAAGATAGCTCAGGAATAAATTTTTATAGTATTATTAGCCTTTTCATTACTATATCTTATTCATTTTAATAAAGTATTGATGCTCAGATATAAGGATGTACAAGGAGAACAATAATGTGAACTGTTATTTACATTAACTTTAGCAGTCATAGACTTTGTTTTTACTCCAGGATTAAATAACAATCAGCCAATACTAAATTCTGGAAGTAAAATCAATGAAACAGGAGCACAAAGTAACATAATTTTATAATCTAATTTACAATTTTATTTAGGTGCCCCAAGAAGTCCATACGGTCTTTTCACAGAGCACCGCAGATGAGCATTTAATAGGAAGCTTACACCTCCTTCCTAACAGATATCACAAAACTTGGAGTTTGAACCACAGATCCTTTGTTTCTGAAGCAAGTGTGCTACCACTGTGCCACAGCTGCTCAAATTACACATTATTACAAATTTTTTTATAAAGTCATAAAAAGATATGTAAATAGTTTTTCTAAAAATACAGTTCTTTCAACTTTGATTCTATTAACTCCTAATAACTCGGATAACAACTTATTAGCTAAGTCAACAAAACAATAAATATATATAGAAATAATTCATTTATGAACTTTATATATTTTTTGATAAATGCTTCATAGCTTTTAAATAGATATGGATGAAGTTTCTGATTATTTCCAATAGAAATCCTTATATCAAGATAAAGCAATACTGTCAGTATTAGAAGACATACTTAAAGTTCCTGTAGCAAATAAACCTGTAAACAAAAGAAAGAAATGTCTAGCACTTAGGAATAAAGATAATAAATCGACAGATAAATTTTGGTTTTGTTGTGGCTGAATTGTGATTCATGTGACCATACTGTGCACTTTAACTGTGTTTCTGAAGAGCATAAAAAGCATACAAATATAAGAAAATTTATTAAAAGAAATAACTTCCCTTTTGCGTGGCAAGAATGCAATTAAATAAATAACTTTATTTCTTTAATTCTCTTCAATTTAGTTTGTTTAATTCTCTTCAATTTTCACAAAAACTGTGATTTTTATTAGTATAATACAACTTTTACTATATGTATTCATTTAATATTCTTTACATTTTTGTTGTATAAAAAAAAGTATAATTAAAAAAAAAATTTTTTTTTCTCTAGATCTGAATTAAAATTGGTGCCAATAAGTCAAAGTGTCTGTAACTCCGGACAACAAATCAATTAACTTCTAATGTTAATATAAGCTAGATATTTTTGTAATAATGCAGAATAAATTGATTTAGGTGTATCAAAAAATATTTTTCTAATATTGTGCTTAGTTTGAGATGTTTAAATTAAAGTTTTTATTATTATTATAATTGTAATTTAAACATTCATTTGATGATTTATCAAATAAATGAAAATATTAATATTTTCATTCACTTGATAAATCATCAAATAAAATTAATATAAAGCATAAAGTACAATGCAATTTTAAAGCACAACCAAATTTCACATATTTTAAACAAAAGAAATCACAAAACGAGATATAAAATACTTTTATATCTTTATTTTTTTCTGTTTTATTAAAACAGTATTCACGGTTTTTAATAAAATGAGAATTTGAGGTCCAGAAATATTTCCAGATATCGCAATTTTCGATCACTTAAACTGAGCCTTGTGGTTAAAAAAATTTACCTGGTTTATGATGCATGTAGTGAATCCAACCTTGAGACTGCTGAATGCCAAGTGAACGCCATTCTTCTTCAGTCAAATAACGATCTTTTGGAATTTTTTTTGCAAGTTCTTTAGGAATGATGACATGTCTAAAATTACATTTATAATGTAAGTCATAACATTATAACCCTTAAATGCATAATGTTGCAGAAATGCAATATATTGACTTAACTAAAGTAAAAACATTTTTAAAACTAGATAAGAACCAACACATATTCTTGCTTTATTGTTAAAAAAAAACTAAAAAATGTGCATGCTTAAGTTGCCAATATTAGTAAAACTTCTGCACAAGAGAATTTTTCATTCACTGCATCAAATTTTGCTTACTTAACTACTTTACTTGATCTGCTTCTTTTAAAATATAAAATACAGTAATCTGTATACAAAAAAATTTTTTATAGTTTTTTGCGGCTAGGATTAATTTTAAAAATTGTTTGTTGATTTCTTTGTTTATATCTTGTATTGACATATTTTTGTGAATTGTTTATGTTGCACTTTTAATACTTTTAATCTTTGTTTAGATTGTTATGTATTTTTGTGTATTATTTATACTGTCTTGTGCAATGTTTATATGTGTGATGTTTATATTCTCATGTATACTGTCATATATGTCATTATAATGTTATGTTCTTGTGTGTAAAAGTTAAGTTTTTTTGCATATTATGAATTTTTTTTTTACAATAAATGTTTGTATCGTGCGGTAGGCTGTTATGTTTTGTAATTATATAATGATTGTAACTTCCCCTGTTTGTACTTATATATTTAACTGTTCTTTAAAAATTAATAGACTTTTTAATATTATATAACTACTTTATTATTTTAATAATTGTTGCTTTATTTATTAATATTATGGCTATTAATATTAATAAATGGCTGTTAAGATTATTATCACTGCTATTGGTATTAAAATTTATTTTTTCTATTTGTTTTATACTTACAATTTTATTTGTTTTATACTTACAATTAATTGTAAGTAAAAAACAAATAATAATCTATTTATTTTGAGATTTTTTTTATTTGTTTATTTTCTACTTTGCTGTTTTTATTTGTTTACCTAATTTTTTTTTTAGTTATTATTCGTGTCGTTTTTGTTTTAGTTTTTAAATTTATCTTATTTTTTATAAGTTTAATTTTTGTTGAGTTTTTGTTTGCAGTTTTTGTTTGAATTTTGTTATTATTATCTGTTATTTGTACCATATTACTATATTACTTACATTTTTATTAAAACATAACTATTAATAATCATTGTCTATTTCTACTTTACTGTTTTTTATCTCACAGTAAGTTGTAACTTTATGTCAGTTTTTAACCGTTTGAAACTTTTATTTGTGTATATAATATTCAGTTTTTGTTTAGAAATCTTTTAATGATCATATTAGTTTTATTAATTTAAGTTGTATGGATTGTTTATACTGTCATGGATTTTTGTATATTGTTTATGTTGTGTGTTTTTGTGTATTTCTTATATTGTCATATATTTCTATGTTTTGTTTATACTGTGTTGTAATTTTGTGCATTGTTTATATTGATGTGTATACTTGGTGTAAATTTGTGCATCGTTTATATAGATGTGTATTGTTTATGTTGACGTGCATTTTTTTTGTGGTCTTGTTGCTAATTATTTTTATTATTGTTGCTTTTTATGTTTGTTGCTATTATTCAAGTTATTTTTTTTTTTATTTTCTTCATTATTTTATCATCCTTCTGATCGTCAAGCATTGTGTTATCTCATTCATTAGTTATCTATCATGTCAATTTATTCACTTTTGCCCTTTTTTGTGTTATTTGTCTATCTTTTTTAAATATTTATATTTTCTTCTTTTTATTTTGTTTAATTTTATTTTGGTTGCTATCTATATTACTTTTTTTTTGCTTTATTTGTTTATTTTATTAAGGTGTCACTTCAATGACTAGTTTTTAACTATATGAGTGACACCAAACCTAATTTTTTGAAATTATAAATCACTTTACAATTATTTCAATTTTATGGTTAAATAAATAGATAAAAAAATATATAGCTAGTTATGTTATTAAATTTGTAGCAGATTGTGTAAATCAAAAGGATATGCTTAACACATTCTAGTTATTTATTTGTAGTTTTTTTTTATGAATTGCGTTAAATGTATGCATTTGTTTGTTTATGTGTGTGAATTTGGGTAATAAATCAAAATACTTTTACTTATATTTTTAAGCTACAGACAATTAAGAAAAGCAAATAACTAAAAAACTTTGTCTTTATCTAAATATATATATATATATATATATATATATATATATATATATATATATATATATATATATAAGATTAAATATATATATATAAGATTAAATATATATATAGAAGATTAAATATATATATATATTTGAATGTAGATGAGAATATGTAAATAATTATGTATGAGAGAGTGTAAATTATTATTTGAAAAACATCAATAAATATAAATTTCTCTCCACAAAATTTTAAACACCATTTTTGGCGCACTTACGTCAGAAAAAGATAAAACCATCCCATTGACATAAAATAGAACTGCCATTTTAAAAATAAAATATAAACAAAATACTTTTAAGCTGAAGACGTTGGTCACGAAAATCCTGTAAAAATTTCTTAAAAAAATAAATTTAGTATGGAGAGAAATTTGTATTTATTGATCTTTTGCAAATAATATATATATATATATATATATATATATATATATATATATATATATATATATATATATATATATATATATATAGAGAGAGAGAGAGAGAGAGAGAGTGAGTTTCGGAAAGAATTGCTCAAAGGGTATACATAAACTTTTATTTTTCTTATCTGTGCTACAATAAGATAAAAAACTGTTTTAAAAATTATAATACTCATAAATAAAATTAAAAACTGATGCATAATGTTGCAGTTATGTAAAACAAGTGATTTTTTCTAAATGAATAAACAAATCACGCATCAAAGAGTTAAATAACTTAATTATTGCTTAGTTTAACAATCAATAAAAATTGCTAAAATGTTATTTTATATTTATTTGGAATGCAAATCTTATTTTAATATATAGAATATTAATAATAGCGACAAAAAGATAACTTGTGCACATTAGGAATAATCTCTAAAAATAAAATTTAGTAAACATTTATGACTAATGAAAAAAACAGATTTCAGCCTATTTACTTAACCATAAATATGAGGTAGAAAATTGTCTCATTAACACTCAATTTGTGGTACCTCAAGGATACCCTAAATCATTTTTTGATGCTTTATTTAACTTTTGTTTTATTGTCTTGAGCAGTCTTAAGTAATTTTTATTTAATTAGCTTTAATAAAATCATAGTTTTTTGATTTATTTTGGTGTTGTAAATTTATTAATAAAGAATATTTAAAACTAAACAGAGCTGAACAGATAAAAAATGTTAATAATTAGAAAAAAGAACATGTAACAAAAATTGTTTTTTTTTTTCATTGATTTACTACTTCTTTTATATTTATGTTTAAACTATTTAACTAGAAATTTTTGAAAATAGTACTACCTTTATAACCTCATATAATTTATTAAATAGTTCATTTTATTAGATGGCAATATTAACATCTAGGCATTGAAAATGAGTTTAATTCCAACAATACCGTTATGTTTAAGAGTAAGGTAAACCATCTAGTATAAATCATATGCAACATTCATAAGCATAACAACATTAGCTGGTTTCATTTAATGATATCAATCGCTTTAAGGTTAATTTCTAAGGTTATACAAGGCTTAAGGTTATACATCTGTGTAGAACAGTAATTTTTAAATACAACTTAACTTCATATTATCAAGAGCAGAATATTTTAACATTTAAATAGCAATACCTGTACTCATTTTCATCATCTGCGTATCTATCAGAATAATATATGTTATTATGAGTCGTCATATTGTTTTTAAAGTTTTAATATTTAATGAAATTCAAGGCAAAATAAAATTGCTCTGATTTTAAATTTAATTTAAATTATTGCTGACTGATCATAATCTATTTGACTGATGATAATCTATTTCATAACGCGCAAACCGATTGGTTAGATAGTGACAGTAAATAGCGTTGATTGGCTCAGAATAAGTTAGCGCCCACTGTTTACTACATACTACAGAATACTTAATACTACAGAATTAAGCACGACACATTTTATTAAAAAATACAACGGATGATACTTTGAATTAAAAAAAAACGCATCCTTTGTTTTCCTTTTTTTTAATAATTAAGTTTTTTTTAAGAAGCAACGCTATTGATGCCAACTTATTTTGACCTTCCTATCCCCTTTTCAACAGTTGTCAAATATTTTCAGACCCCTTTCCCTCTATTTTGTTGACATAATTAATGGACACCCCTGATAAATTCTTGGTGTTTTTAGATATTATCCATTTAAATATTAGATCCAATAATAGACAATAATAAAAGACTCTTTGTCCTAATAATAGACAGAAAATATCAATTTTGGTAGACGCGCGTCAATAAGTAGTACAGTTTTTCTTTGATTTCTCAAAATCAATTTACTTGGACTTTGCATCTTTTAAAAATACACTCCTAAGAAGTAAATTTTTGAAAAAAAATGAACTTAGAAATAACTAACAATAACAAGAAATACTTATTTGCCAGTAGAAGCAAATAAGTATTTCTTGTATAAATAATGAATAACAAGAAATACTTATTTGCCAATAGAGTCTAACTCGTTAAAGAAAACTTTGCGAGTGCAGTAATGTCGTTTTACGATTTATTAAAAAAAGCTAATCAAAATTACAAAGAGAAGAAGCTTCGAAAGCTAAGTTAAAGTCATAAGTAGTTTTATATTACTACTTTTAGATTTGATATTTACAATATGGTTCAGGAGCGTAAATAAATTCGACTTCAGTGTTTGATAATCAGTGATTGTGATATCGTTAGTGATAGTGTAGAGAACTATTTTTTTTTTCCATATATTTTTTACAACTACATAGCTTTAACAATACATACTTTAATTACAAATAGTTTTAACAATATATACTTTTATTACAAATACAGTCAAAATGCTTTGAAAATAACTGAAATAATACTAAGATATATTTGATGTACAAAGTAATAAAATAATGTAAAATAATTTTTCAGTTTATATTTTGAAAAAACAAAAAAAGTCTTAAAAAGGGAAAAATTAAACCTTTAGTTATGTAGTCAAGGGAAACTCGCAGAAAACTGTGTAAAGTCTTTGAGAACTCTTTTTTTAAACAATTTCATGAGATACTCATAAATATTTTATTCATTACTTATTACATTTTTCAATATAATTAGTCGTGTTTTTAGGAAGGAGCATACCATAAACATAACATATATACATATATATATATATATATATATATATATATATATATATATATATATATATATATATATATATATATATATATATATATATATATATATATATATATTTATATATATATATATATATATATATATATATATATATACACATACATACACACATACACACATATATATATACATATATACATATATACATACATATATATATATATACATACATACATACATATATTCATATACACATACACATATATACATATATATATATATATATATATATATATATATATATATATATATATATATATATATATATATATATATATATATATATATATATATATATACATACACACATACACACACACATACATACATATATATATACATACACATATACACATACACACACATACATAAATACACATACATACATACACACATATTCTCATAACATACACACATATACACACATACATAAACATACACATGTATATATGTATATTCATACTTTTTTTTTATTATTATTATTATTATTTTTTTTTTTTTTTTTTTTTTTTACATGATTTTGATATTTTAATTACTCATAAGTTATTAGAAAATTTCCATATAACTGCTTGTATTTAAGACAAGTTTTTTAAGATAAGATTTTAAGGAATTTATATTTTTCAGGAGAGATATTGAGGAATTTTTTGGTATTAATTTGTTATACAAGTAAGGACCACGATATGCTATTGAGAATTGAGACTTTTTACGGGGTACTATATAGTTTCCAGTTGCTCCAGTGCTAAATTTGTTTATATTAGTTTTAAAAAAGTTATTCATAAATCGACTTGGAATAATTCCCATTTTATGTTTGAACATAAACAAAATATTTTGATATATATTAATTTAGTAAATGTTTAAAGCATTCATCTGTTTTAGTTATGGGTTTGCGTGAGTAAGTTTGTTTTTATAAAAAATAATTATTGAGGCGAGTTTCTGTCGTCTATAGAGTGAACCTAATTTAGTTTTATGGGTACTTGCCCATGCTATATTGGCATATGATAGATAGCTGTGTGTAAAGGAAAAATAAAGAAGTTTTAAATTTTCGAACGATAAATAATTTCTTGCTTTATAGAGTAGACCAATGTTTTTTGAGACTTTTGTATTAATGGTATTTATGTGAGAGTTCCTAGATAATTTCTCGTCAAGAAGCACAACAAGAAATTTAGATGATTGAGTTCGTTCAATAATTGTGTTGTCTATACTAAGAGTTGGTAAAATTGATGGGATAGCCTTTTTTTTTGGTTGGGGTGAAATAAGATGTATTTAGTTTTGTTTAAGTTTAATGACAATTTGTTAGCTCTGAACCATGTGTTAAGTTTAATAAGTTCTAAGTTTGCGGTTATAAAGAGGTCACTGATTGAGCTAGAAGAATAAAACAGATTAGTGTCGCCTGCAAAAATTATGCAATCTAACTTAAATGAGACTTTAGGGAGGTTGTTGACATAAATTAAAAATAGAAGAGGAGCTAGGAGGAACCCCACATTTGATTTTCAGTTGTTTCGAGTTGTTATAGTGATCTATGGTAACACATTGTTGTCTGTTGTCTAGGTAGTTGGCGAACCATTTTATAGTTTGATTTTTTATGCCATATTTTTCCATTTTTCTTAGTAGTATTGTGTGGTTTACTGTGTCAAACGCCTTTGTAAGATCAATAAAGACTCCTAATACAAATTTTCTATCATTAAAGGAAGTTGTAATGTTATTAATGAGATCTAGGATAGCATGTTCTGTTGAATGTTGCGTTTGAAACCCGTATTGATTTTCACTTAAGATTTTGTGTTCTATTAAATATTTATACAGTCTGTTGTAAATTATTCTTTCAAGGAGTTTAGAAAATATAGGAAGAAATGAGATTAGTCTATAATTGCTAATTGCAGATGTATCTCCACCTTTAAATATAGGTACAATTTTTGCTATTTTTAATTTGTCTGGGACAATTCCGTTTTTGATTGAAGAGCTGAAGATATTAAAAATAGGCTTTCTTATTACAGAAAAAATATAAAGCACAACATTGTCAGAGATGTCAGCAATACCTGGGGCCTTATTCTTTTTAATTGATTTGATTGCTGTTACTAGTTCATCAAAAGTTAAATTACTATCTGGAAATGAGCTTTCAAAATCGCTAAAATAATTTTGAAACGATGTTTCTGAGCCTTTTATTTTTGATGCCAGGTTTAGACCAGCGTTTACAAAAATATGATTAAATATTTCTGATATATCTTTTTTGTTTTTGTATCAATTTCGTTTTCCGTTATTCTGGAGGGTAAAATGTCAGATACTTTTTTATTTTTACCAATGATTTCTTTCATAACTTCCGACGTTTTCTTTATGTTACCATTATTATTTTTTAATTGTTGAGAATAATATCTTTTTTTAGATTTATTTTTTATTTTTTCAAAGAGATTTTTAAATTTTTTATAGGCATTAAGATTAGCTTCGTTTCTGTTTTTTAAATATTTGATGTATAATTTTTGCTTTTTTTTTGAAGATTTTCTTATTCCGCGTGTAATCCAAGGATATTTTAAATATTTTGTTTTGACTTCTATTTTTTGTTTTGGAAAACGTTTGTTATAATATTCAAGAAAGATGTCGAGAAATAGATAATAAGCGGAATTTGTGTGTCCAAGGTTACATTCTTGGTATACATTTATCCAATTTATTGTTGATAAAGATTCTTTAAATTTAAGCATAGAATGTTCATTCATTTTTCGTTTCAAGACTTTGATTTTAGAATTATCATTTATGGTTGCATGTTCAGCAAAAGAAAAGAAAATAGGAAAATGATCCGAAATATCAGTTTTAATTATTCCTGTTTTAATAGACTTATCTAGAAAAGAGTTAGTTAGAATATTATCTATAGCACTAATGGAAGTTGTTGTAACACGAGTTGGTTTGTTAATGATTGGGATTATGCCATGTTGAAGTATATCGTCAAAAAAGATTTTAGTATTAGGGTGTTCATTGTACTTTAAACTATCTATGTTGATGTCACCGATGCAGAATAATCTTTTTTGTTCATTATTGCTTTTGATTAAAATTTGTTGCATATAATTTGAAAACTGAATAACATCGCCGTCGGGTGGTCTATAACAAGTAAAAACTACAACGTTTTTTGTATTTTTAATTATTATTTCAATTGTTAGGACCTCACTGTCTGAATTAGAGATCGAGAGGTCTTTTCTAATTTTGATATCGTGGTCATTACGAATGTAAACTAAAATTCCGCCTCCCCTTTTGAGCGTTTTTCTTTCAGATGAAATTATTTTATAATTAGGAATCTGAAAATTTCAATTTTTTTGAGCTTACTCATCATCACACCATGATTCTGTGAGACAAATCATGTTAAATAAAAAATTGGATTCTAAAAGAAAGTATTTTAGTTTCTCTATATTTAAACTTAAACTTCTAATATTGATGTGTATTACCGAGAAATTTTTTATGTATGTTTTTAATAGCGTTTTAATAGTTTCAGTGTCATAATATTGCAAATTAAAATCTAATTCTTTAAAAACCTGTTTATCTGCGTCATAATAGTCATAATAGTAAAATACTGTTATCAGTTTCAAAAAAATTTAATTGTTTGATTTCAAAGTCAATTGTTTTGTAAGCCATTGCGCATGATTAAGAGTTTATTTTT